CAGGCCACTGCTCACCGTATATTATATAAAAAATAATTTTTATATAATTTTTATATATCAAATTTTTATATAATCAAATGTATTTTTAAATAATTAATTTTTTTAATTTATATAAAATTTATAATATTAAATACATTAATTCATTTAATAACATATATAATTTATATTAAAAAAATAATATAAAAAATTTATCCTCCGTAACACTACTCATATTATAGTAGTAATGCCCCATGTTCATCCGCCCCGAAGTGGGGATGCCCATGAATCTTGTTTTAAGTGTGGCCCCCATATCATATGATTCTCTTTTTCAGCAAAAAGAAGAAAAAAATGTACTAACTCAGATCGGATTATGATCTAATCAAATGTCTTATAACATCTTAATCATCTTTCGTTTCTTGGATGTATTTTTTTTCTTGTAAACATCGGTAATTGAGGGAAAGGGACAATTTGGGTGCATCAAGCAAGATACCACACAACTAAAATCATGTTTCAGTTTGGGAAATCTTTAACCTATTGATTTAACATTTTATTAGCAAGATTATTCCCTAAATTGTGCATAAATCCAAAAAAAAAAAAATCTTTAAAAGAATAAAGAAGAAGTATGGTTTGAATTTTAGTGATTTTTAGTTTTTTTTTTTTTGCTGCCATTAAAACTTTATTAATAATAATAAATCAACAACTAAAAAAAAAGGTAATTATTGCAAGATCATTTCAGCATTAATTATGTTTTATTTATTGCAGTTTTAGGTTACGGTTTAGATGCATGGTCATGCATCAGTGGAGACATTGATGCCACCAAACCCATAATAACAAATATATTTTAATAGCCAAATGGCATTTTCTTCCACCTTAAATCCAGAGCATTTGGGTAGCAAGATTGGTTTTTTGAAAGCAAATTGAAAAGGCAACTTTCTCTTAATACCAAAATGAAAGCAAATTGAAAAAGCAGAAAAAATGTCACCCATTCGATTTTAGTCAGTAGATGGAGGATTATTTGAGCAATCAATTTAAGTGGGTATTTTAGGTACAACGGCATGACTGTCTACCAGTCATGGTCCTCCTCCCTAGTGGAGCCCCCTCCCACATGGGGTAAGATCCATTGTGTCCTCTAAAACTTCAACTACAAAATGATTGCCTCTGTCTACTAGTGCAAGCAACTATGCCGCCTCTTAACTCAAAAAGCATAATAATTGGTCAATTAGATGGTTCTACACTAGGGGTGAAGTTAATTTTTAGCTTGAGTTAGACTTGGGTGCACCTTATAGCAGTTAGATGTAAAGTTAAAAAGTGATGATTATTATTATTATTAGGAGACAGTGAATATTAAACAATTTGAAAAAAGTTGTAAAAAGAAGCAGGAGCTCCAGCCAATGGAATTGTATTCTAAGGGCATGGCCTTTAATTATTTGGGCTGGGCCTAAAGTTAAGGGCAGGATTGATGGTTCGGTAGGTCCAACAGCTATGCATAGCATCGCATGCATGTCGGATATACGATGATGTTGCGGGGAAAGTGCGCACACAGTGGTTGGTTGCATGGGGCGTTTTCGCGTATGTCTTTTCTCTGTTGGGGACCGATTGAGGCGAAAGCAATTGATGTTTTCCTCGCAGCTTTCATTTCATGCATGACTATTAGAAGCAAAAATGAGTGAAGAAATGGTTGATAGAGGCCCCTACCCAACGCAAACTTTATCCGTAAAGAGACCCTTAAGCTGCAATATGTGACCACAATATATGAATCACTCCAGGAGGGGAACCAAATAGTTTCATCTAAGGACAGTGATGAATTTTGTTTGGTATATTACCCATCTAAAGATTTAAATTTTGTTTGGATTTATTTATTTATTTTACTTCATTAATTAGAATTTTAATAAAATGTAATTAACATTTATAAGTTAAAAAGTTTGTCCTGGGATGGTTAAAAATAAATATAATTTTGACCATTCATTCATATTAATTGCTTTCAAATCATTAAAAGGATCTGTTTCGATTCAGTGATATTGAACCATCAATTGGATCCGTTCACCTTTTGTGGGTGTGTTTAAACCTCACAAAATTCCTTTCTCCATTCCCCCATTTAATATGTAAATAATTCTAATCTATTCTAAAAAAAAAAATTACTTTCAAATCATTAGACTAACTCTTTATATGTAAAAGGTTTTTTCACTCATTTAATAAAGGTTTGAATACGTGTAATCCTCCCACCCCTTTCCTCTATAGGTTGAACTATTTGCTTTGTGCTAAGGAAAAAAATAATTTAAAGAAGAAATGGGTCAGATTGATCAAAAGAATCGACAACCCAGAAATCAGCCATCATCTTCTGTTGGCTGCTACCTCACATCTTGAATATTTTCATTCACATATGAAAAAAAAAAAAAGGAATTTGATTCAGGAGAATTGACTTGGGAGTTGGGAGATTAACCGGGGAAACAAGATTATGATCTGTCATGAGAAATTAATGTATGGAGACTAAAAGGAAGGATGATCGGATGAGGGGTGTGGGGTGCCAGGTATTCACCGCAAAGCTACTATTTCTCCCGTGAGCGAAAACTGGCTGCCAAGTCATGTGGCTTGATATCTTTAGTAAATATTGTTGGGGATTTTAAGCACTATCACAATTAAAAACTCAAGTTCATTGCATTCTGTTTAGCCCTATCATACGTGGACCATAAATAACAGGCAGAAACTGAGCATTAAGCCCCTAGACGTTTTCCATTTTCTAACATACAAGCCCTCCAACACCGTATATTAAGGTTCTGTTTGGTTAGAGTGCCACTTTTTCAGAAAAATTTTTACTGAAAAAGTAATTATATAAGTATTGTATAAAAAATTAAAAAGTATTGTATAAAAAATTGTTAAGTTCTGTAATAAAGTTTTGTTGGAATTTTGTTGGGTTATTAATTTTATTGTATTTGGTGATAAATTGATGGAGGAAAAATTAGTAGAAAAAGTTGTTAAGTGACCACCATATAAGGATAGTTATTGGAAAACATTTTTCTTGTAAAAAAAAGTGGGAAGAAAACTCTATAGATTAAAAATTGTGTTAGAAAAAATAAAAATTAAAAATGTTACTTTTATCCTTATTTTACTGTGATATTAATAAGTGAAAATACAAATATAACCTTATAAGAGGAAAAATTCAAAGAACTTTAGGGAACACCTCAACCAAACACCCCCTAAAGCTCATGGCTTGTACCTTGAATATATATATACATATATATGGGTTAAATACATGTGAGTGCTTTTATATGAGGCATAATCAATTATATACCTCAAAAAATACTTTAAAAGAAACATCTTGAAAGATTTGTTTTTGAAATATAGAATCAATTACAACAAAAAATGTAATCCATTATATAACCTATATGCCTATATAATCAATTATCTCAACTAACATACTCAATTATATTACAACTTTTGTATTTGTACTAAAAAGGTGAAAATCTTAGTCATAGCCAACTAGCTTTCAAACGTTTGTATCATTTCTTTATGGGCTTATGAGTCATGAGCAAACAAATAGGGCCTAACAGATGAATCACATGGCGTAAAGAGCGTCTGCTTTTCGCTTCCTTGGCAGCACCTAAGCACTGGTGGCAAAGACCCTCAGGTAGACCCTTAAACTTTTTACATTATTCATCAAATTATTCAAATTTCAACCAAAAAAAAAAAAAGTAAATAAGAGCTTCAACTTTGTAAAATTTTAAAACTTTTCAAAACTAATATTCTATTCAAAAACACCAAATCTCATGAACCACTTAATATACGTATGTGACATTTTGATAATAATCAAAATTCGAATCACAGACGCTATCAAATTATAATTCCTCATCCCCTACTTCATATTGTACATGTTATAAAATATATATATTCCATTCAAAACTTTGTCATGTGCACTTATAGACAAAAATATAACACCAAGCAGATAGAGCATAGAAGTATCCGTAGATGCGGAGGACTCTTCTAAAAGGGAAATAATTGTGCAAATGAAGGATGTTCGTATTTGGGATTTGATAATACAGCTTTTTCCCAATACGGAACAAAGAATATGCACCATATCCGAAAGTCCATTCAATCACAATCACAAATTTTATATCAAGATTAGGTAAAGCTCAAGCCCGCACCTTACAAATCCATAACCTACTATTGGAAACTTTTCTTGACTTTTGTGTCTGATTTAAGAGGAGAAAATCGATCAACATTATCAATGAATAACTCGAAAGACTATTTCTTTTAGAGTATGCTCTTCATAAAAAAATTTAACACAATTTGAGGGTTGAAGATTGATATTGCAATAAAACAATTCTTAATACCAAAAGCTCATGTAAACAAAAACAATTCCGAAATTCGAAAGTCTACTTCTTCTAGGGGGCACTTGGTTGGCAGGAAAGTTTCTTCCTCTTTCTCCTTTACTTGCATTTTTAAAAAGTATTTATATATTTTTACACATTAATATTATAATAACAAGAATAAGAGTAATATTTTTAATGTTTAATTTTTTAACATAATTTTTAGTCAATAAACCTCCTTTTTTCTTACATTTTCAGAAAAGAAAAAATTTCTTTATAACATATCTTATTTAAAACTCATGTAATAATTTTTTATTAACTTTTTTAATATATACTTCTCATCAAATACAAAAAAAAAAAGTATCAATTCAATAAAATTTTAGTAAAATTTCATTATAAAATTTATCAATTTCGTTACACTATTTTTTCACCCATTTTACAATAAAGTAGATCTCTAATCCATATACTTGGGTCTGAACTTTCAACTTAATTTTTGGGTTCAAAGTCCAAATTTAGTGGTTTTGTTTTGTTTGTTTGTTTGTTTTTTTATGTCAAGAATGGGGTTCCAATCCATTTTAGATATTTGGTATTGTTGGGTTAGGCCCTCTATTCAATACAAATAAAAAAAAGAGAGTTGGCATTGGTCTTGTGTTGTGGGCCGTGCCTGTAATATCGGGGGCCGTCAGGCCCTGTATTTTGCTCTTTGACAGCTTAAACGACACAGCAGCGATAGACTCCCTTCCCTTCCCTTCCCTTCCGTCCATCAAGGGAAGGCACCGCCGCCGGCATGGAAAGTACAGGCTACTTGTGGGCAATTTCAGCAGGTCTCAACGCCGCTCTTGCCGCCATTTCTGCTAAACTCTTCTTTTCTCAGGTAAATTTCATCATCTTTTAATTCACTTATGTTTGAACTCACCAATCAAAAGGCAGCTACTGGAATTTCGAACTTCCTTTTGATTGGGAATTACCATTTTGATGTTGTTTCCTGAAATTATCTTTCTCTGATCATTTTATTTATTTATTTATTTGTAACTTACTGGTTAAATTTTGTTGGATTTCATCATAGCACCGGGAAATTACGATATTAATATAAGATCCGTAATCCTATGTTTAGAAGGGAAATTCTGTTGAATCGAGTTCATGAAATAAATTTTGAAGTCGTGGGAATTCTTGGATTGTGTAATGATTTGTAAAGTTTCTTGCTTTTGGCAGTTTATTAGAATTGGATTCATCATATTATTCAATGTGACAATGTGGGGATGCTACGTTAACAGCCTCAAAGCTCTCTCATCCTTGCAAGCTACTGTGACCAACTTTGCTGCTAATTTCCTCACGTCTGGTCTCGCGGGATTCTTTTTGTTTGGGGAAGCATTATCATTTCAGGTAAGCCGAGAGAAAGAACTACTTGGTAGTGTTTGAGGATCTTGATGCAAACGTTTAACTTCATGAGTACTCACATTCCCTTTTGGATGATTGGAAAACTTCAATTTTTTTCCGGACCTTTTTACAACACATCACTGGGAAAACTGATACATGCATGCATTACTAGCTTGGTAAGGGAAATTAGAAATAGTAGCTTACATTAACTGGGTTGTTTCGCCTGTGGTCATTGATTACAGCTTCATTCTAGGTAGTGATACCTGGATGATTTAACGTGTTCATTGTATGTATTTGAATTATGAGTAGAGAGGCGGAAGATGTAAGAGGATGCTATAACTACTTATAATCAGTCAAATTAACACAATGAACAAAGTTAATAAATTGAATGGTTTTCCTTTTCAATAGTGTGAGTTTCTAAAACCAGAGGGAAGTACATCGTGCTTTTGATTTCAAGTTAGCATTTCTCTGCAACACATCCCAGTACCAGTTATTATCAACTAGAATAAGCACTTCTATTATCATGTAAATACTGAAGACCCCATCATGGAAGGTAGTGTGTCCTGGAGAAATATCTGAAAACAGATTGTTATAAACTTCCTCGTATTTATTAGGTTTAACATTCTCTTAATGAACTTAAATATTTATTAGGCTTTTGCAGGGTCTCTGGAACTCTGTCCTTCATAGTGTCTTTGTAGGCAAAAGTCTGGAAAAATATAGATTCAAGTTACCATTTTTTTTAGGCTGTTAAGTTATTTAGATAACTAAAAAAAATCTTTCATACAGGATGTTGTATACCTTGTGTTGAGCATTGAATGATAAAAAAGTGATGACTGATAGTGGATGGGAACAAAATAAGTTGACACTGTTTTATGAAGTTTAATTGTTAACAAACATGCACATTTTGATGATGAGAAACTGTTTCATAGTGGTTTGCAGGTGCCTTGTTCATTGTAATCGGTGTACTTATCCTCAGCAAGTCGAATGTAGAAAGGAAGACAAATACCGATTAGAGTTCCTGCTAATGCTTCTGCTTCTGTTGCTCACTTTTGCTAGTCATGGATCTCTCTTGTATTGTAGTTGTGATTTTTGGATTATTTTGTATTGAGTATAGTTGAAAGCAAAATTTCCTATCAAGTTATCAACAATTTGTGTTTCTTGCTCATGTTTATATTTCAATAAAATTAGAGCAAGGTACTTTTGAAGTATGCTCTTACACAAAAATATCCATGCTTACCTAATTGTTAGATATGAAATTTGGATCGCATGATAAACGACAATATACTTTAATGGTTTAAGTACCATTTTGGTCCCTCAACTCTTCACTTTGGTACCAAAATTGTCCCTCACCTTTAAAAAGTACCAAATTTATCCTTAAACTTTCATTTTCGGTACCAAAATGGTCCTTCCGTCAGTTAAATGACAGGTGGCACGTTA